AAATGATGCCACGGAATATCGCCGTATGTATTTCGAAATTAAATACTCCTAACTTGTAAAACATGAAAGTTTTTCATCCTAAAAAAACATTTTTAACTCTTAACCATTTTTGTGACCTTTTATTTATGTTTCACAATATGTAGTGAGTGATATTTATGTCTGTGTACAGAATAGGAGAAGCTTCATTATGATATGTTTCGTCATATATTATGATATCTTTCTCTACATGTTTTCATATTCATTCTGAATTATTTCACAGTATAATGTAATATGCTTCAAAACGTATTGTAAAACATACCTTCACTGTATATGGTAATCACTAATAAAAATTAGAAGATTAAACATAGATTAATACATAACAATATTAAGATAAAAGTACAGCAAATATATTGTTACAAGAGATATTAAAGTTTATATTTCTTATTAAATGTTCTGAAGTCTACACACATAAAAATAAGTTAAAGCTATTCATTTATTAACACTAAAGTATAAAAATTCATTCTACATTAATGTAAAAATCGAGAGAGTTAACTATAAATGTTAACATAAGAGACTCGGTCAAGGATACTAAAACAATACAAGCTTCTAAAGGGTTAAAATCCAATATATACATTTATATAACATTTTCTTCAGAAAGAAAACATTCGTCGCTAAACTTCCATTTCAAAACTTTTGCCAAACTACGGATCATAAATCTCCTGCAAGTCGAACAACCTGCTGATATGGTTCGTTATTAGTCAATCCAACAGTCTCGATGCAGGGTCTTAACGTCCAAAGCTAAGTCCAACACCTAAATGGGGGAAGTGAGAAATGGCTTTAGGGACCCGGCCGCAGGTGTCGATAATGGTCCAGATACGAAGGAAAAGGACAATAGACTAGCAAGAAGGATATAAAATCAGACCTTAGAGGTAGATGTGGGATGGTTAAGAGAGAACGCTGACTTGACAATATAAGATTCGACCTAAATTGGTCTACCTCGGAGCCAAGCTGGAAGTGAATTTGTTCAAATTATTTTACTGTTTCACGGTTTTGCTTTTGTTTTTCTTACTATCTGGATTTGTTTAGTACACTAATAATACCAAAATTAATCATTAGTTCGATGTTATCTGTAACAAGCATTATCGAATTAGTAACGCGAAACCGTTGGAGTAATTTAAAACCGTTAAAGATAATTATTCAATAATTTTTAACATGTGCTAATTCCATTTTAGTGATAATTGTCAAAGATATAATTACGTTAATAACTAGAAACATTAGAGAACACAAATCTTGTTTGGTATTATATGAAATATGTTGATCGATACGCTCTGCTGATGATTGGATAGTTAAACACGTAAGAATATTGCATTCTCGTCTGTTGTTGTGTCTTTGATGCAACATATATAAAAAAAGATAGCATCTTTCGATACACGATATATAAAAAGATAATTTATTATTATGTTATTTGATACAAGATGTAAAACAGAACCTTTCCTCGATACAAGATTTAAGAAAATATAACGATTTATGATACGATTTTGATGCAATATATAAAAGATAACTTCATATCTTGCATCAAAAAATATAATTTATAGACAGATATTTAATGCCGGACATAAAAAATTTTACACCTTTCCATCCAAGTGAACGCATTAAATTTAGACAAAACATATCTTTATCTATATAATACGCACGGAATACCACAATAATAAATTAATAAATCATTTTATTAATTTAAACATAACGAAATTTCCTAGAAAGGAAGAGCGAGTAAATAATAATATTTTCGACAACTATCACTTTCTTCCAAATCAATGAGACGTCCCAGAGGGCGTTAAGAGCGCCTCCAGATGGCGTGATTTGACAAAAGCGCCTCCAATTAACGCCGCCAGCGACCCCTAGCGATTGATCAATGAAAGTTAAGTTGAGACGGTTGTCATGACAACGCCACGTTGCGGTTCGTCAGGTTGGACATAAGCGCGAATTACAATCTCAGCTATTACCCTCATTGACTCTTTTAAGTACAAACTCGCTATTGTTATTCTACTGCCGTATATACACAGCTGGGGGCTAAGAGATTGTTGACGTGATTTCCGATGACTTCTATGTCCTGTAATGTTTGATATTTGAAAAGTTTTATCGTTTTCGAATTTTTATTCTTAATTTTATCAATATATATATGTACAACGTTAAAATTTCCACAATAATTTTGATAATACGCTGCCATTTTCGGCTACTATCTAGTATAAACAATGAAGATTTAATGAATAAAAATTCGTTACAAAGATGATAAAATTGTTTTTCCTCACTGGAGTATATTAAATTTTCTTACTTTATAAAAAAGACAATTCACTGCAAAGGAAAGAATTTCATAAAATGAAAAATTCCTGAACAGAAAATAAGTCCTTGCTTCTTTTTCTCTCTTTATTCAATACATTACAAAATTCGAATCTTTGATGTGATTTTCCAATTTTATTATTTTTTTATAAATATACAATAAATTATTTAATATGCTTATTTATCCATCTAATTGTAATCAATAAACTCAAGAGAATAAATTAATTAGAGTATTTTTTAATGTAAAAATACAGAAAAAACTCGAAAAATTCTCATCTTCTCTTACAGAATTACAAAAATAGATACCAATGTACGAGAAAAAAATAAAATAAAGATCTCTACTGAAAATCAATAGCTACAAATCGTCGAAGTATAGGTCTACATCTTTAAAGAAATTGCACTTTTCAGATTCTATCTCATTCTCGACTCTATCGTTATAGATACAACCCCCTGCAGATTTACAAAAGCGGGTGCATCAATCACTAGAACATTCTAGATATTGAATGGCAACTATATTACTAGTATATGTCGTAAATATTTGTAAAATTTTAAGAATTTTTCTTCTTTTTATAAACATATTTTGCTATCTCTAACATGAAAATTTGATCATGCTACCCGTTATGAGAAAAGCACACGATAGCCTCGTGATACCAATTAGTGGAGATGCTCCATGCGCTTGCTCTATGTAATTTACCAAAGTGGGGGTCCACATCTGTCACTTTCCCTTTTAAGAACTCCTAATTGAGTCCTTGTTAGTGACGAAAACTTCGGGGTGGATCCTTTCATTTTTTCTTCTCCCCTTCTTCCTATCTTCTTCAAGAACAAGGGGGCCTTTTTTATTTTTTTATTTTTATTTTCGCCAGTTATCTGAAGTATCGCATTACCAGGATCGTTACTTAAGTAAAAAGCACATTTTTTTTTTGTAAAACTTAACTAACTACAAATGATAGATAATTGATACAATGTTTTAGCTGTAATCAGAACTCGTAAAAATCGTAATAACTCGGAAGCGGAAGACACTTTTTAATCTACAACCTTCTTAATTTTATATAAATTATTTCTCCACACTTTAAAATTACTATAACGGTTATTTTATTTCTATATAAATTATTATATCTTCTTGTTTTTTTAACTCGATAAATTCAGATCTAATGGCAAGTGTCAAAATTCCGGGAACATATTAATGATCTCATTACTGCATGGCTTAGATGTGAAGACATAACTTCTTCCAGACATTTTCTACGTCAGACTCATACATCTTTGACTTGTCATGATGAAGTTTTGTGATTTTCTCCTCATTCATTAATAATGAGAGATTCAACCTGATCGATTTTTACTGATTTTATCGACGAAATATTTAAATTATATTTTGAGTACTGTTATTTTCTACATTAATCAATGCTATTTTCAATGCAACGAACGTTAAATGTTTAATATTTGACATAGTTTTAATATAGTAAACGTTAAGACTGCTTTCAAGCAACCAAAGTTATTTTCAACGTAGCGACACTTTCAACATAGCGAATATTTTTAACATAATTGACATTAACTCCAACATAATAAACATTAATTTCAACAAAACACATTATTTTTCAAGTTAATGAACATTATTTTCAACGTAACAAACGTTTTTTTTCCAACATAAACGAGCATTCAACGAGTTTTCAACAACGTAACGAGCATTAACGTACTGTACTGTACATTAAATGCCCATTTAACAAACGGACTTTAACTAATATTTATTAAATAAATAAAAGCATAAGGAAACATATTTTTTATCTAGGATAAACGATTAAATGTTAACAAATTTATCACTAGTCTGTAGCATTTTATTCATTATCCTATCCCATATTCTTTGTTTATTGCACGTTTCCTCCTTATCTCGTACTTTATGTTGTTGTCCATTCTGCTTTATCCCATCACGTTAGACCATATCCTACACTTTTTTCCCCATTATCCACGACGTTTTAGCCATGTTTATTATACGTAACAATAATTAAGAAAAATAATCTATCCACCGTACTCTTATTATAATTAAATTAAAAATTGGCAAATTAAATTATCGTCGAATATTAAAAAGTTCATTTATCATAACTTTGTACCAAGATACTTTTCTAAAATAACAAAAAAAAAAATTCATTTAATCCTGAAGGGAACCAGAACATCCGAAAGATAATGAAGCCGGCTATTGTCAAACCAAGTAACTATTCTAATTAGTTACTAGATAATTTAGAATTTTCTCTATAGCGACGGCATAATGGATCAAATGTGAAATTGGAGAACGTTGTAATGCATTTTTAAATACTTTCTTTCTTAGATTATCGATAATTTCGCTTAATTTTTTAAGTGTTTTTTTTATTATTTAGAAAAATCAATTGTTCGTCTGTCGGTCTGACTGTTTCTTTTAATTTGTACTCTGATGTATATATATTCAAGTCTCTTGTATAGATTCTTTAAATTCCCAGTAAATACTTGGTTAACGTTTGCCATTTTGTTGTAAAATGAAGAAAAACATGATAACTTCTAAAGATTTTTAATTAATTTATGAATTAACTATAATCAATGGAGAATATATTCTTTATTTTAATCAAATATAATGCTGCATTCGATTTAAAGAAGTTTATGCTTTATACGTTTGAATTTTCATAAATGAGTAACTTTGCAAACATGGAAAAAATCGATAAATTGTTTGCTAATCATCTCGAGTCATTAGTGATTAAACAGGAATCATAAACATTTCAAAAACATTTAAAATAAAATTATAACTAGATGAATATCCAGGCTATCAAATTATAACGACGTGTTTCACACCAATAGGAGTCACGGGGAGTAAGACCTATCATTAAAACTCTCTTAACATCGAATGGCAGGTAATAACGATCCTCTATCAGTTAACATTTAGATCCAACACACGTCTTGGCACAATTATTAGTTACTTAATTACATTGATGGATAGGGCAAGTCACACGTAGCTATCTTGTAAATCTGTAATCAATGGAAGTTCGCACAACCTCCTGTCTCAATGTTTAGATTCGTCTTTAATGGGTCCCACTTTGTATACACTTAGCAGAGTTCCAACTCATCAATCATATCGTCAAATTAAAGAATGATATATCTCTTTCCTATATGAATATTTAATGTTTTCAGCTTCCATTCTGATGCTTCATGATCCATGAGACGTTCACAATAAAGTCAGATCTTGGCTACATCCTATATTTATATATATATATAAGATTATCCAATAGTTTATTCCTTATATAAACACTTTTATGAATGGTTATAATCCTGAAAAATGATGACATCAGGAAATCTAGAAGAGAAGTGAATTGGATTATAGAAGATTTTGCTGTTATTGTTCTAAAAGTTGAGATAAATCAGGATAAATTTAAATAATAAAATTATGATATTTACGTTGTTAAAAGATAAATTGACCAAAATAAAAGGAATATAATAAAAAAATTTTACTTATTTCTCAACTAATGATATGTAAAATGTTACTTTTTTTTCTTTTATTTTTGCCATTTTAAATCAATATAATATAATTTTGTATATATTTTCTAAATTAACCATCGAATTCAATTTACAAGAATAATATTTATTCCACAGTTATGCTAATTATATTCTGAATAATTATAAAAATTTCATATTTATTTGCATAATCAAATATAAAATACGAAGATTAGTTTCTTAGTTGCAATAATTTTAGCTAGACAACTATATAAGTTTGAAAAATGATTTTAAGTAAGCAGTTCTACTTTTATCCTCTACTTATTCATACCGAAGAATTTTTATGAATAGAACGTGACAGACAGATATATAGAAAACGTAGACATGCAGAAAGATTATACTTCATTGTAATAAAGTGTTAAAACACTAGAATCTTTCTAATTTTATTTCCTGTAAATAAAAATTAGGAATAAGTTTATAAGTAAATGATATAAAGAAAAAAATATATACAAAACTTCTCTTGCCGAAAAAGTGCTTTATACTTTTTCCAAAACATATATTTATTTTTTTTTTTTTTTTTTACCTCCTTCATCTTTTCGAAAACGGAACATGAACGAGGGAGAAAGAGAGAGTTTTCTTTCCTTAAATCTCATTTCGACAAATTGCAAACAGAAACACAAAAGAAAGGAACATTAATTCCAATCCAATTTCTCTACAAAAAGTTATATTTCTTTCACGTACAAAACACAAAACTGTATAAGTATTAAAGAGGAGAAACAAATAATGGGTCTAGACACATCTTCTCAGCCATTTTCCATCCACCACGTGACGTGGAACAAAAAAAAAATAAAAAAAAATAAGAAGAAGAAACATAGGATGACGTTTCCGTCACGCGAGGCTCAATCCGTTATGCTGTCCGTTTTTATGATCACCGGGTCCTGGTTTATGTGACTATAACGACGACCAGGGACAAATCCCCTCGGATATTATAGCCACATAGAACCTACGTCCCCTATATAGACTTACGAGGGTTGACAACCTGTATTAAGAACAACAAAGCTTTGGTTATTGACACCTCTCTTTAAAGTAAAGCGTTGTCTTTTCTTGTACAGGTATAAATATTTATCAGGATATGGACTGTTTATCATCGTAACACAGGTCCATAATCTGCAAAAAAATGGATCTCCGTCCCTACTCCAACCTGAGATAACTTCACTTAACTGAGAAAATATTTTAAAGAAAACTTTTTATGGGATGTAACTATTTAAAATATATATTTATCTTATGATTTATAATATAAATTTTATGATTTTTGTCAACATTACGGAAAGAAAAATTTTTGAAGTAGGTAAAAAAAAAAAATATTGTCAAAACAATTCATTAAATAAGGCATTGTAATTAGTAAAATATTTACTTTCTTATCTGCCTTTATTTCTTAATAAAAGAAATTATAATTTGTAAATAAGAATTACATTTAAAATTCAAATTCTAAATTAACCAATTACGTTATCTTTAGATGATCAGATGATTGTTTACTTCATTTATATTGGTTGTTTCAAAAAATATGTTAGTGTTTTTGAATTAGCTACAATTTAAAATTAACCAATCAACGAAAACTTTACCGATCAGGTGACTCATTTATTTCATCTCTATTGGACGTTTTCAAATTCCATTATTGATGCTGTTGAAATAATTTCTAAATTGAAATATGTTGTGAAAAATTATTTATCAATAAAAACAAAATTAAAAATATAAATTTTTATATTTTTACATCAAGAATCTATATTTTTTATTGTTATTATTTTTTTTATTTTTCAGTGAAATTCAGCAATCAATATTCGGTCCCAATTCACTCGGTGCCCACACAAAAGCCGAACAAAAACAACGAACTAACTGAATAAATATCAAGAAAAAATAAATATATTCAACATCCGATAACTTTTTAAAAATAATTTAAAATAAAATATAAGATTTTTGTAAAGAAAAAAAAATTAATAAAATGATTTCTTTCCTTAGTCATCGAATATCTTTGTGTAAGTTTAATATATAGATGCAAGTTTCTTAATGTTCAAAACCAAGAAAAAATCTAAGATATTTCTGTGATAAGAATAAAAGTTTCTTTCCAAAAACTCTTGGTAGTTTGTTATATTTGATATGAAGTGGATTTTAGGTAGACTTTTGTTTGTTTTTTGTTGACGTTTCGGCTCGTATCTTATATACAACACGATCGATGTTTCATTGTTTGTGAAGAGAAACCTTTTGGAATTTCATTTGATTTGGTCCTAGTTTATTCTTTAGTTTTCTCACTTGTTAACATAGATCTAACAAAATAAATGTTATAGTTTTCAAAGAAACACAGCTGTGTGTCAAAGAGACGACTTTTTCCATTTTTTTTCTCTATTTTTTATGTTTTTTCTTATTCGTAATAACTATTTTACATTATCCTCTATGGGAGGTTTCTCTAAATCCACGTCTAATTTTACAGAATTCAAAAACAGAAAAAAATCGAAAGGTTTTTTTAGCTTCTTTTCTTGAATAAACTTCAGAAATATTTCATTTTTTTATTTAGAAAAAGTCAGAAAGAAAAATTTTCTTCTTATGTATTTTTATATTCAATGTATTATAATTATATATCAGAGAAATGATGAGGTTCTAGATGATTGACCATTAGGTATCCCATAGTATATGGACATACACGATCTTGCACATATTGACATAATTACGAAAACATTTATGCATATTTAATTCATTATAGCAAACATATACTTAATATAGCATGATTATGTTAATATATCCATTTATGAATAATAATTTCCCATTTTAATATAGAAATTTTAAATTATAGTAGCTTAACGTAATTTAATTATGTTTATATAAAAGTATATTTAATAACAGAGTTTTATATATACCGTAATGTAATTTATATAGATTTTATTGTAATATTATATACATAACTAAGTAACATAGAAAAATACTTGGTACTGTACACGTATACGATTTGACACCATCTCAAAAATTCGATTTCCAATTTCATTTAATGTAAACATTATAGAAAAACAATTAAATTCAAGAAATTCTCTGTAATTTTTTAATTTTAAATGAAGGTAACATAATCAGAAATTTTTTTTTATTTCTTTCTTCAGCAAGAAATCGTAAATTTGTGTGTTTTGAATACCCAAGAGGCGTTATGTCACATTCGGCTGTTAATGTAAATTATAACCCAATAATAATGGAAAGATAAGATATCTGATTAGGGAGATAAATCCTTTTGATTCACTCTATAAAATGATGCGTGAAATTGAATAGAAGAAGGAAAAAGTTCGCTTGGAGGAACAAGGTGTCAAATGACTTCAATAAGCTGTTGAGAAAGATGTTGTAGAGTATCTATCCCTTTATATAATAACAGGACAGACATTCTACAACAACAGCAACATAGTAAAAAAAAAACTTAAAAAATAATGTGTTAATTAAAAACATTTGCAAATAAAAAAATTCCTCAACTGCAACTAAACAGTCATCTTGGAGAAAACTTGCTATTTTATTTAAAAATNAAAATAATGTGTTAATTAAAAACATTTGCAAATAAAAAAATTCCTCAACTGCAACTAAACAGTCATCTTGGAGAAAACTTGCTATTTTATTTAAAAATATATATATATATTTAAATAAATATATTAAATAAACGAAGCTAACTACATTAAACTGTTAGAAAAAACAGGAACAATAATTACAAACGATTTTTCTTTGTAGGATAAAAGTTACAAGAAACTTTAGTCTACAATACCTGAAGTGAAGCATGTCTGCCTTCTCTCATTGCATTGTCATTAATCACTATTGTAGACAACAATGCTCTTGGCCTCCGTCGTCTTGGGATAAAGTACATACCAGAAGCAGAAAATTAAAGAAAAGAAACTTGTTATTTTAGTTTTTTCCAACTTTCATCCACTTCTAAAGCATTCTCCCATTAAAAAAATTTTTTTAGTTAAAGCTTATATGACTCTATCCCCTTAAACATAGAAAAATTAAATATAATTATTGTGAATAAGTATTTATAAATATATTTATAACACAGGTCCATAATCTGCAAAAAAATGGATCTCCGTCCCTACTCCAACCTGAGATAACTTCACTTAACTGAGAAAATATTTTAAAGAAAACTTTTTATGGGATGTAACTATTTAAAATATATATTTATCTNCGTGTTCTTAAAATTACTCGCATAAAAAATATATATATTATCAATATTTTAATGCAATTTTTAAAATATTATAATAATAAAAATATATGTTAGATATAATTTATGTTTAAAACCGCTAATATTTAATAAATTGTATATTCAAATATATAAAATCGTTAATAATAAATTATATTAAGAATTTTCTAGTAAAATAATTAATTAAGAGACGATACCACATAAAAGTATTATTTTAAAAATTTCAGGAAAATGAAATAATAATAATAATAATATACATATACCGCCATCTAGTAATAGATTTTGTTATTATAAACTGTAAATTTATTATCAAATAATTTTTAAAAATGAGAAAATTAAATCAGATGTCTTAATTAACATTCTTAAACGAAAAATTAATAAAATTTACAAACAAATATTCAAATTATACAATCTTTATTGTTATATTTTACTCGTAAATTAAGAACTGAACAATACTTGATGAGGGTTATTAATAAGCTAAGCTTAGTTTATATCATAAAATTAACTTACAAAACTGAATAACATGTTTCCAAACATTATCTGAATATGATTTACTTCATTATGTCAAGATTTAGATTATTGCTCTTTATTTAAAGTTGCTAAATTATAAATTATAATTAACTTTCAAGTCAATGCCATTCTTCTATTTACGATTTATAGAGTTAATTTTAAAACATACCTACGAAAATATTTAATTTTTGTAATTATAAATAATACGCTAAAATACTAATTAATAATTCAGAACATTTTTTAAAAGTAAATTGTAAATTTTTATTATCCAAATTTGCAAATTAATCTGAAGCTCAACGTTTAAGTAGCATTTTCTGTTTAACGCTGTCTGCCATGAGAATTTTAATTTAAAATGATAGATTTATTCTTTTGTAGATTGACGTATTTCTTAATGAAAGCTTTTTATTCGGCTATCTACTTTAATTTTTTTTTTATTTACAAAATTTTTGGGAAGAATGCGCGAGATACTAACTGCCAAAATGTTATAATTTAAATAAAACAAACATAGAACTACATTTACACAGAATCATTGTGATGTAAATGTAATACAACAAGGTTAGCAACAACACAAGGTTAATTAACGACAACAAGCTCAAAGCAATTAACCAAACAATGGTTGATTACAATGAGCCTGAAGGGTCATCTGGAAGGAGGGGAAAAATATGTAAACATACATCTAAAATATTCAAAATGGACGTCAATCTGAATTTTGTACGTTATATATTCTCCCCGTAACTTCTCCAACATTTGCTGCAAAAAATAGCATATTTAAAGACATTAGTAATACTGTCACACATGGCAACATTTGTTTGGATCTCACTTTTTTTCTAGTGGAGCTTTGCACAAATTTTATGCTCCATTTTACTTGTCTCCTTTTCCTGTATCAACTGAGGTTATTGGTGTATTGATTTGCATTTCTCAACTTGGAGCCTTTCATTGTTAGATAGTAAAGCCTACTATTTTTAGAGACACGGTTCGTTTCTGATCAGAATCGCAGAAAATTTCATGGATGATTTAATTCATCTTTCACTACCTTTTTATTTCTTATATTGGAAGGAGCATGACAACATTTCCCTCCTTGGATATTTCTTAATGCCATCTTACCTTTGTGCCTTAAGTGAAGAATAAGGTAAATAACATAATTAAATTTTTTATCACTTGCCCAACTTTGGTTTGGATCAATTCATAATTGTTCCAAGCCATAGTGGGTTTTTGATATATCGTATGGATTAAGACGGCTTTTAACATAAACACCACCAGCCGTCTTAGTGTCTGTAAAGCAGAATGAATTATATATATAAAAAACTGAGTTTAAAATCATCAGGCAAGATTGAATTTTCATATCGGTACGAAATTATCACAACTTTCCAAGACAATTTTAATTGAAATGGCCTTGTTGTCACACGTAATGTGTTTCGAGAAAAATATTACTCTTCTTATACTTCAGTTTTTATGAATGTAGATTTATAAAAAGAGAGAGAAATGAAAATATAACATAAGAAATGTTACAAAATGATATTTCAGCATAGTGAAAGTAAGATTAAAAAAAAAAAAAAAACTAGAAAATCTCCCATCAAGTATGACAGAATACTTTTTATGAGAAAGTAGATATTGAAGAATTGAGAAGAGCAGAGATTTTAAGAAATTCAAGAAGAGTTGCTAATATCGAATTAAATAATTTATACTCGAGCTTGATGTTTGTGATTCTGTTTGTACAGCCCTTTACTAAGCCATTCTTATTCGATGTTGCTCAAATCGGACTTCACGGCCTTCAGGAGTCTCAGTTGTTTATTCTTTTAGATCTAGAATTATCCTGACTTTTATGCTTTCTCCTAAGCATTTTTTTTCTTTTTGGCAAAACAGCGAGTCTTTTAATCCCACATTGATAAAACGAAAATGAATAGTATGTACTGTACTGTACGTTAGTTAGATGAGCGATAATCTATATCTGTGTAAAAATGAATGTATGTCTGTCTGTGTGTCTGTCTTATGTCCTTCATGCATTACCACACCGTTTATCCGATTGCCGTGAAACTTTGGGAAGTTTTTTAATACACTCCCGCGAAGGTTTTTGGTATAGTACATTTATCCTACGATAGATGGCGGGCGTTTACACGAACATTCGAGCACTGTGTGTTCGATCGATTTCAAATTGTGAAGACCATTTCCCCCCTTCAAAAAATATCTCTATATATGCATTTGTGAACTGTTATTTACGATATTTGTAATAATTTTTGTTTAATCACTTTATTTCAACTTTTCTTTGCTAATTATGTATTCGCTCGAACTTCGTTAAAACCTTAACTGTACCCCGAACAACAACCGAAGTTGTAGGAAGAAATTCGCCTATTTTACCGATCTAGGTATCCCCCTTTTCCAAATTTTAATATCGACTCAAAATAATTTAAAAAGACAAATTACAATAAAACGGTTTATTATCCAACTATCAGAAATTTCACAACATGCCAAGGAAGAGAGGAAGGAGCAATTAAATAATTAAAATTATAAAGGATTAAAAAATATATATATATATAAATGGGGAATATAGCACTTCTGACAATCGCTGCCAGTGTGTGAGCTAAATTTGGAGAATTCGTGCTTCTCGCATGGACAACTGAATGTGGCCGGCTCACGTGTCGGAAAACCTTCTGATTTATTCGTGTACGCTCCAGATGGAAAAACAAAAAGTATCGTATATCCACAAACACTCCAATAAATAAATAGAATTGGAACGACACTTTGAAATGTTTTCCCAATGAAAATGAATAATAATAAGTTTCAATAAAAATGATAAAATGTAAATTGAATTTTATCATAACGAGTTTGCTTGAATTTCCTTTCTTCTGAGATCGCAGCAATGTGCGACGGGTAAGCTAGTACTTTATAAATAACGGGCTCGTTAGATCGTTACTTCCGATTGGATAATAGAACGTCACGTGGTTACTATGAAAATAATTTTAAAAACTACACACAGACGACGGGGCTTTTATATTAGCAATGAAACGATTTTTCAATCTAAATTACTCGCGTAGCTATTTTATTAAATAGCCCTATTTTATGTTATTAAGTAACCTTAAAATATAGCCCGATAAAATCCGGCAGATCGTTTGGTAATATTCTATCTTCGGAGGTGTTCTGGGATTTCCCTGAAAGGATTCGTATTACACCCTTGATGGCTCCATTTAACTATTTAACTAATCTCCTATTTAAAGGAGACGTTTTATAGCTTGAAAGTTATCATGCCGTAGAATGTATCTGCAAATATTGAGAACTATTTTCTATTTTTTCCATAAGTGTTCTGGAATAACATTTTGATCCTCGTATTAAATCTTAAGACTTTGAAAATGGGATTAATAAATCGAATAATAAAATAAGAGTTATTCGGAATATTTTTTTTCAAGGGCATTAATCAATCATTTCAGGAACAATGGATATATGAGAGGTTTGGTGGAAAAGCGATACAAGTGACAAATAGCTCAATATAAAAATGTTTCAACACAATAATACATTCAGCCTTTGAATTTCTATAGTTAGAATATCATCTTCGAAATATCTTGCACGCATCAGCATAACAAATCACATTTTTAATATTATTTTATATGGGTACTCTTTTAATATATTTAGTAAATATTTGAAAGGATTTCTTATACAAAATATGATAAAAAATATTCTTATTCAATTATATAATGAATCCATGCTTTAGAAATTCTATTTGACAATGAATTTCTAAATTGTTTTGTAAATTATGATATTTTTTTATATTAGTCTATATTGTAAGATTGGCCCCTTAACAATACGGAAGAATTTTTTGTTGAATTGTTTTATCTATATATATAATATGTAGATAGTTAGTATATATAATGATTTTAGTAATGAGAAGGATGCAATTGATTTTGAGAAAGAATTAAGTCAAAACAAGATTCTAAATTAAATAAACAAACACGTATTTAAATAAATAAATACTTTAATTTACCTGTAATTGTAATGATATTTTCGTTCGCCCCATGCAAATTCAAATTTAAAACGTTCAACTTCTCAAAAAGATCGTTGAGAAATGCTTCCAGCCACCAATTATCTTCGTTAAGAAATTCACATCTAAAATTTTGAGAAAGAATTAAGTCAAAACAAGATTCTAAATTAAATAAACAAACACGTATTTAAATAAATAAATACTTTAATTTACCTGTAATTGTAATGATATTTTCGTTCGCCCCATGCAAATTCAAATTTAAAACGTTCAACTTCTCAAAAAGATCGTTGAGAAATGCTTCCAGCCACCAATTATCTTCGTTAAGAAATTCACATCTAAAATTTTNATTTAAATAAATAAATACTTTAATTTACCTGTAATTGTAATGATATTTTCGTTCGCCCCATGCAAATTCAAATTTAAAACGTTCAACTTCTCAAAAAGATCGTTGAGAAATGCTTCCAGCCACCAATTATCTTCGTTAAGAAATTCACATCTAAAATTTTCAGCATCGAAGAAACATTATTTCATGTCGCAAAGAGATAAATCGTGAAAGCACTTTTCCTTTCGAGAGCCATTGCACTTTTGTATGAAGCAGTAAACATTTAAAATCAGAATTCACAGTTTCTCAAAGGAAAGCAAAATGTCTGCAACGTAGGAAATGTGATTTTATGTAATTCATCATTTTAACAACGTTATTCATCGTCTTCAGAATACCACCATGTAGAGATTTTGACACTAAAACTTCGCAGTGAATCGTACAATGTACAATTTTAACTTGTGAATTTTTTGTAATACATAAACCACGAAACCTTTTTTTCGATCCTGCATGGATGGAGCGCCATTAGTGCAAACACTAATACAAGTTTGCCACTGCATACCTCTCAATACGATATTTTGGTTTACCAGGTTAAACACATCTTCTCCTGCCAATTTTTCCTTCAATTCACAGCAAAAGAAAAACTGATTTATGAAATTACCACCCCTGATTATTCGCAGAAATATGATTAGTTGAACTCTGTTGCTGATGTCTGTACTTTCATTTTTTTTTAAAATAAAACTCATCTCCATCCACAAAATTAAGTGCTTTATCATTTTAAAATAATAATAATAATATAAATTTCTTTAAATAATAAAATCTCATAACACTATTTATTAATTAACCAGTTTGGCTTCAAGTTTCAAAGTTTTGA